AAACATGTTTACAGCCTGGTACACCTGCTGGTTTTGGTCTCTATCACTAATTATCTCCTTCATGACAACTCTATGGAGGGTGTTTAAATTTTATGAAGGCTAAAAGTTATGTATAATTGAGGGTGTAGCCCCCCTCCTCTTTGACCAATTTTGGATGAGCTGGGAGTTAGGGGCGGAGTCGAGCACTGCCAAGATGGCAACGGCATCTCAGTCAAAACTACTCTTCAGAAATCTGTGGGTGACGTCACGAAGGCTACGTCTTTATTTACAGTGCTTTTGAGCTAAATGCTAATGCCTGCATGCTAACACCGTGATGTTAAGTGTGTATAATCTTGGTTCGTGGTTATCATCTTGGATTAGCACGTTAGCATGTATTGGAAAAATTGAAATTTTGACCTGATGGTGGAGCTGCAGTTCATCCTGAGGGGGAGGACCAGATTTAATGGAATCCATCCAATAGTTGTTGAGATAATTCACTAAAAACCACAAATGTAAACTTCATGGTGGAACTACAGATGAAGTTGGGATGATAAAAGTTGAGAACTACAAATCCCAGCAGCTGTTTAAATACTTCATTCTGGACCAAAGTGGTGGAATGACAGACCAGCGTTACCATCCCGTGAGTTCTGCCACAACTTGTCTCCTGGTCAGGTATGATGTACTTCCTGTTTATTCTTGCGATCAAACCGTTAACACTGATTATGTGTAACATGTAAAAACAAAAAAAAAAAACCTAGCGTGACATTAGCTCAAGCAGAGAAGTCGTGAAGTGTCGTGTCGTGTTTGATAACATGGTCACACCGGACTTAGAGAAGCTGTAGGTGTGTACTGGATTAAGTTGTGCTGTGTTGATTATGGATTCAGCTTTTCATTTGTAAGAGGAGGATTGTTTTACTTCAGTCACAAGTTGAACAGCTGGTGCTTTTTCATGTTTGCAGTTTCCGCAGATTGAAGTCCTGAAACATCCACTCAAGACTCATCTCCAACTTGTTCGGGTACGTATGAAATCATTCAGCCAAAGTTTACATGATGTTATATTTTACTTCCCATTTCTCACCTTCAGGAATTATGTTTCTTTTCCAGTTTACAAATCTGAAGACCAGAGACAGCCTGGTAAGTCTTCAATTTGTTTTTTCTATCAACATGAAAGAAACTTAAGTGTCTGAGATTTGAGAACCCACCACAGTCACATGATCATTCAACAACATTTCAGGAACTTGGTGTTAGTTAAGGTGGCTCTGCGTGACAAAACCCCTGAGATGGGAGCAGCTGCACCTGCACCGGAGGCCGACCTGCACAGGTAAGATGCCGCGTCAGCCCTCGCACACACAAACATGAGGGAGTCGAGCTTTTATTCAGTGTTGTCATGGAACTGCACCTCCACTTTATCCCGTCGCTGCTGTATGCTTGTTGATTGTATGTTGGTGGAAATCACATCCTGAGAGCAGAGCAAAGAAGCTTTCATAACGAGCCAGTGGCTGATATTTAAATTCGGCATATTACTCTTTTGAAATGAGACCTTATGGTGTAACGGGACTGCAGTTAGTAAATATTTTTATTACTAAATAATCTGATTGTATTTCAATAAATGTTTTAGTCTATGAAACACAAAATTACAGAAGCCCTGAGAGACTTTGGCAAGATCATTTTTCAGTTGTTTTTTTTTTTTTGTTCATTTGTGTAAAAAACTCCCAAGAGGCAAGTGAAAATGTTTTTTTTTTTCTGGAAAGAAAGGAAGGAAGGAAGGAAAGAAAAAAGGGAAGGAACCATATGATCCTGGCAAAATAAAAATGTTTTCACTTGCCTTCACAGTCCATCACAGTTTCATAAAACCCAAACTTCTCTTCAGATTGTGTGTTCTGTCCAACTAAAGGTCCAAAACCTAATACGAAATTTATAAGGATATAAAACTGAGAAACGCAATAAATCTTCATATTTGACACCGTTTCCACTTGATAAATAACTCTCATGTTTAATTGGTTATCAAAATAGTCTGCAATTAGTTTCCCATCAGACTAATTAACTAATCATTTCATCCCGCAGCGTTTTAATTTGAAAATGAAATTACATAATCGTTGTTTCAAGTCAAGCAGGTTTGAGAATAGTTTATAAATAATGTCGTCAGTGACCAGCTGATGTGAGCGCGACAGACTTTCACAGGACATCTGTTACATGTCTGAATGTGTCGGTCTCCTGACTGCCGCCTGGTTATTTTCAGAGCTGCGTGTAGTTCATGGAGCTGTCGGGGACCCGGCGCTCTGCTCATTACAGCTAAAGTAAAATGTAATTTCACATGATGGTTCTGCTGCGCTCAGAATAGGACGTGATGATGTTTCCATTTTGAAGAGCGCCTTTCAATTAAAACTCAACTCCTGTAACATCTGCAATTTGGTGGAGCGAGGCTTTTTATCTAAAATAGAAATCCCTGCAGACAGAAACTACTGTAGTCAATCAAACATACAGAGACACGACGAGGCCGTGCGAGTGTTTTAGATTCGTTTTAAAAAGAGCAGAGCAATTCAGAATAACATGTTAAAAAATAAATAAATAAAGATACACCACCGCCATTTAGACACTTCATGTTGAACAAGTTTAATCAAACTTAAAACCTCTCTGAATCATCTCAGAAATCTCCAAGTGGCAGTAACAAAACAATCATGTGTGATTCACTTTGCAGATGTTTGTGTTTTTGTCCAATAACAGCAACAGCTGCCAAATAACATCAACTCTTCATGTAGTGTATGTGAGAGGAAATTCTTAAAATAAAACAAATGAATAAATCAAAATGAAAAGAAAATACAGGTTCAGCTGCCACTGCTTTTTTTTTCTTTACTGAAGGCAGTGAATTATTAGATACATGTGCTGTTTGGCGTTAAAGAGCACAATGGCAGCCGGTACTGTAACATTTAGCACATTCAGATCCCCCATAATCCACCTGTGTTTCACCAACAAGAGACTTTCAGAGTAAAACAAGTCATTCAAGTCATCAGTCATTTCAAATAATCAAAATCCTGATCATTGGCACTTTAATTAAGGGAGAATTTTTTGTTTTGTTTTGTTTCATTAGCAGTTTTTAACCAGTCAGAGGTCAGTTCCCCAAATCCACCTTAAATACCACCTTAAGTGTTTTGTTTGATCTCCTTCAAACACAATGAGCAATGAAAGCTTTTACGTGTCAGGTGAAGTCACATGATTATCTGAGGAGTCAACTTAGTGGCCACTTTATTAGATACACCTGCGCAGTCTATTGCAATACAACATGTTGTTATGTTTATTACTGAGCTCATAGTTTCTTCACTCAACACTATCACTAACTATGAGCTCAGTGCTAAAACATGGACCTGAATTAACACCTTCATCACTGTGTCAACAAAACCTGAACATTACAAGCTTCTTAAAAGTCAATGAACAGTTGGATCAGATCAGTTTAAAGTGTACAGGTGCAAAAAGAATTGAAATCTTTTGGTTTCAAAACTTACAAGTTACGTGCTTTAAACTTGCAGAAGAGTAAATGTTTAGAGGAATTGTCACAGAACACAAATCTGTTTTTAGCTGCTGAATCAGGATTTAAACTTTAGTTTGTTAGATGACACAGTAACATAATGTTTGTGATATTGGAAAATCCATGCCTGGATGCAGTGATAATATGCAGCTGTATTGTGGATAAACTAAACCATTAAGAAGCCACAAATTAGTCCTTTTCTTTTTTTTTTTTAAGGATCCACATCTGGAAACAAGCCAAAAAAAGACAGACAGTGAAACTCTCCTATACAGATGAGATTTGCTGTAAAATCAGATGCAGGGATGTTTCCATAGAAAAGCACAAGGTTAAACAACAAAAAGAGGAGATGTAGTAAAAGGCCTTTACACCAGTTCTCTTTACCTCTGCTCTGTGTGCAGAGGTCTGACTGTGACTCACGACTGGAGCTGAAAACACACCAGCGCTTCATTCATGCTCGCAGCCATTTTCCCAAGTACTGCGTTAATTTTCCACACTGAAGCATTTAGGGAATGAGCGCTTGAATATGTAAAGCACATTTGAAAAAGCACACAAGAACGGCTGAGAGGAATAAAATTAAAAAGAAGGGCTCTGGCAGTGAGGGAGCTTCCTTCAAGCAAAGGGCGTCTGACCTCTGACCTCTTTGGTAAAAACAAGCGTGAGGGGAAATATAAATATAAAACTCAGCAATTTGAATTTTTTCTGTTTTCAATTGGGAGATGAAAACAAAAATATAAATGAGGATAAAAATAAAAGCTTTTTGTACAGGAGTTATGTTCATTTACACAAAAATTCAAATTAAAGCATCATAGTTTATGTTTATACGTCACTGCATCACACCCTCATGTGGGTACCGTTGCCCGACAGGACACAAAGAAACACCATGGCCAGCAGCCTCCAGCAGAGGGAGCTGTAGGCCTGAATCTGGGCTGTGTGCGGCGACATCCTGCCCAGCAACTGTTCCCCCTCATTGGCTAAAAGCTTTTCAATAAACCAGGCGAACCCATTCGCTCCGAGCCAAGGTTGCCTCTCATCACCCGGCGAGAAGAACAAAAGCCTCAGCCAATCGTGTGCTTAACCACCTGCAGGCGGTCGCTGCGGACCTGACTTCACCTTCAGCGAGACGGATCCCAATCAGAGCAGGAGATGAACCGCTTCTGTCGGAGCGGCTGGGGGCTGCCAGTCTGCATGTTCTTTGTTTTGACCGTACACACAGACACACACACAGACACACACACACCACAGCAGCTGATTTCAGAGGTGAGTCATTTTTCCTCTCTGGCTGGAACTTGCTCGTCAGTGAAATCAGCTGCTGTGGTGTCGGAGTGGAGGGAAAACCTGCAGACTGCTGCCCCTTTCCTGATTTAACCGGCGATTGGTTCTAAACTGATCCACACGTAGGCACATAAAACATACTGCGCATTTCACAACGGTAGAAAAATATATTTAAGGCAACACTGAAAAAACCCTGCCCCCCCCCCCATCTCCTCCCCTCCCTCCCTCGCTGCTGCTGCTGTCGGCTAAAAACACAAACAACTCAAGTTTCCTGATTTAACAGTTAATAAATCGATATTTGGCAGCTTCTAAAAACTACTTCTTGGCTGGTGAACCTGCCAAGAGTCAGGTTTCACCGGCCAGCTCAGATCAATAAGCCCCATTAGCTGTTTTCATTGACATTTTGTTTACAGAAACAGTCCGTCTCCTGGAAAACTTTTACCAACAGACTAGATAAAGTTTGTGGTACATTACAGAGAACAGCATTGTTCAAAATGAGGAATGAGTGTCTCTGAGTTTTGAAGAGAGTGTTGAAATGGTGTTACTAAAGTGACATTCACTGATTTATCAATGAAACTAATTTGAAGCCACAGATTTGTGTTTTTAACCTGAAAGCAGCAGCTTCCTGTCCTGTACCGTTATTTCCCACAATAATCAAAATGTACCAATATCAAATCCATAACACCAGCGGGGTCTTGCCCCCCCCCCCATGCTAAGCTCTGCTGCTGACAGTCCCCAGCTGGTTTTTTTTTTTTTTTCCCCTCACTAGATTCAGTAAAAGCAGAGAGACGAGAGTCGCAGCTGAACTTCTCTCTGCCGGTCACCAGTGTGAAGAAAAGAAGGGACGGAAGGGAGGGGGAGGAAGAGGAGAGACACGTCCCTCCTCTTCCTGTATCTGTCAATCCATCCATCCATCCATCCGACCGACCAACCAACTGACCGACCCTCCGGACAGAGAGGAGTCAGTGAGCGAAGTGGAGAGGTCGGAGGTCGTTGACATCAGAGAGCGAAGAAGAGGATGAGGACCACGATCATGATGGTGACCAGCACACCGATGGCGCACCACTGCCTCCGACCTGAGGGGGAGGGGGAGGTTAGTGAGGTTAGTGACAAGCTGTAAGTCTCTGCATTTAGAATATTTACCACCGATCAATTAAACCGTTTATTGGTTTATTGTTTATTTTATCGTTTCTATCCAGGCAACAGTTTAGCAACACCCCCCCCCTGTTTTTGTTTAATGGGAAGCTCTCCAGGATCAACGTGCTGTAGCCTGGTTCTTGGACTTGAGCACGGACTAAAACATTACAAAACCTCAGACGTTGGACAATGTGAAGCCAAATTAAAGGTTTCCTGAACTCAGTGATGTGGACACACACACACACGTGGGGAATTAATGACACAACCGGACTTCTACCAATAACACAGAGATTATGGATCTCAGTCTGTTTAACTGTTAACGTAAGAGCAGGTGAACTGCGCTGGCAGAAAACACAGATTGCACAACTACATGGAAATCCAAGAACTTCAGTTTCAGCTAAAGTGACTGTGGAAATGATCAGTTGTTGTATTTTGGCTACAAAGTTAATATTGCACAATGAGGTATAACATTTTTTTTTGTTCAGCACAAGCTTGAGCTACAAGTCAGGCAAGTTACTGACAAGTGTTGAGTGTTTTTGTGTTTTAAGCAGCCAGTTACTCACGAGTCTGACGCTCAGTCTTTGCCACAAACATAATTAGGTGTAAATTACAAAATAATTACCAGTGACTGCAAAAATAAAACCGTGTGTGAACTCACTGCTGGTCATGTGAGACACCTTCTCCAGCTTCTTCAGGACCGAGTCCATGCGGGACGACGTCTGGTCCATCTCGTCTCCAAAGTCCCCCAACATCCTGAATGACGGCAAAACAACACCAGTTCTTATTTCACTCTGCCGTAACTGCAGATTACTCACACTCTGTATTTCTACTGTTTGTTTTGTGGCCAAGATTAGCAACTCACAACTCAAACTCAAATGTACCCCGAAGGGTTCATCACATCCCACGCACATTCACACAGTTGTAGTGGAGCGGCTAAAAATGTAAAACTTAGTCCTGAGGATGACGCTGGAGGAAAATTCAAAGCTTTTAAAAAGAAGAAGGTGAGAGCGTTTAAAAATTCATTTCATTGTGACCTAGAGAGAGTGGTTCACTGTTTGGTGATGACGTGTGTGTGTGTGTGTGTGTGTACGCTGCTCAGCCCTGTGTGTTTTCATGAGGGTGTTCGGCCACTGTTCACTGAAGACTGAGTAAAAACAATCAAACATCCTCCTGCTTCCTCCTGAAGACGGGGCCGTGGTCTCAGCCTCCCGTTGACTAAACAAGTCCAGATCCTGGACTGGAAACTTTTATAGGAATCAATCTGCCTAAATAAATGAACAGCTAAAACTAGTTCTGTCTCTACTGGCGTCCTCTGGAGAAAAGATCTGAATATTTCATGTAAAAGGCATAAAAGTTAAAAATAAAATTCTTCTTAGTAAAGTTATTCTGACGCACTATGATTTCCTAGATTTCCCACAATGCCTTGATAACCCCCTGAGAACTTATTGAAGATGACGTGGACGTACAGCTCTTTCTTTGACAGGAAGTGACTAGGGGTTTTTACAACTGATTATTTTCTTGTGTAATGGATTCCCCTTTTGGTCAAAAAATTGATTAAAATCAAAACAGTGTCACAATCAGTGACATCGTCATGTTCATCATCATTTCTTTTCTTGAAAAAATGACTTCAACGATTAAAAATAGTTGCTGATTCATTTTCTCTTCATTGGGAAATCGATTAAGTGAGAGATTATTTCAGCTCTATGAGGAACTGACAACAAAACCTGCCTGAACTTGACATTTACAATATGAAATGTACTGAAACTAGTCGGAGGTGTTTTGAAGTTGGGAGGAAATGAGCGTCTGTGAATTCCTGACCAGAAAAATAACGACTGTGTAAAATCAAAAGACATTTGAAATCACACTGAGTCTTTATTACGTGTTCTCGTATTTGACTTGACTTCACTAGACTTGATGACTAAAATCAATATCAGATACAGCACATCGAGGAAAAGACATTTTTTAATAGTAGAAAGGGAAGTTTAACATCTAAGCGTGGGTGGAAAGATATACGTGTGTGTGTGTGTGTGTGTGAGTGTGCGTGTGTGTGTACGTGTACGTGTACGTGTACACTCACACAGCTTGCTCATCCAGCTCGTCTCCAATGCGTCCCGACATGTCTTTCAGGACTCTGATGCTGCCCGACACCAACTCCAGCTGCTCATCCTGCTCCTGCATGATGAGCTACACGCACACACACACACACACACACACAGAAATTAGTCTTTATCCTCAAACAGACTTACAGTTTTTATCCAGTATTTATAATGTTCTCTATTATTTTTTTTAACCTTTTTTTAAACATGGTTTTAATTGAATCTGGTTATTTCCATTATTATTGGATTTATACCATTAAAACAAGATAAATCATTAAATCAAGCCACAAAATTCTACAAAAACAGTAACGTAAAGCAGAGACGTCACCTCTCCTCCACGTGAGCAAGCAGTTTATATTTGATTGAGTTCCTCTGAAAACCACAACCTGACTCAGGATGTGTGATGAAAAACTTTCATCAGTCAACACCACAGGAAGTAGAAAAACCAACAGCTCACGCTCTGACACTGAAACCTTACTCCTGTATTTAATCCTCTTTCACTTCATCACAGTGTCATACTTAGTGAAGCAGACGACGAGCTCATGTACCCACGGTAACAGGAACCCTGCGCTGCGCTCATGTTTGACAATAAGGACTTTACTGGAGGAGGTGGAGATTTCCTTATAAACATCGTCCCGATCACTTATTTGCTGCTACAGCTCTCACTTTAGGTTTTCTACTCAAATTGAAATTTCTTAACTAAAAATGCAAAATAAAGTAGAAAATATAAAACCCACAAACAAGATCTCTCCTCTTTCCACTCCCTTGTTCCCTTTTTTTGTCCTCTTCTTTTCTTGTTTCTTCCTTTTTCCTTTTCCCCCTCTACCTTATAATTCTTGTTAAAGCCCATTTTCTCTTTCTCTTATTCGCCCTCCCTCTGTACCTGCTGTTGTTCCTGCTGCTCCTGGATGTATCTGGAGTTTGCGGACACCAGATGAGCCTCCAGTCCTGTCGACCTGTCCTGGCCTGTAGAAGCCAGCAGAGCCTAAACACACACACACACACACACACACACATAGACAATACATGGGGTTAGCAGGAAAAAAGTGTGTGTGTGTGTTCGTGTTATATCCTATGATGGAGCTGTGCTGCAATTGCTGTTAATTACAACATTTTACAAATCAAACAATGGCGGCAGAAAAGTGTCAGTGAGCTGCTAACACATCAGCTGGAGTGTGAAAGATGAGTTCAAAGTCCCTGACAACATGGATGATAGAAATGATAGTTTACTCTACATATTCTATAATGTTGCTACTAAATCTAAACATGTTTTCATGCGACCGCTATTCATACATGTTCACGTTATATTGCAAGTACAACTAAAGTACAGCAACACCTGGACATGATAAACCGTCTGATTCCGGCGCCGTCCGCAGGTTTAAATGTACATTTTGCCGCTCTAGTAACAGCCAGTATTCCTCCACGCAGCTTGTTTTTGTCTGGCATGTAATTAAGACTGTCGCCTCACAGGACCACGAGAGATCTAGAACTGTTGTTGATGGTGGAAAAAAAAAAGAGTAAAATATTCAACCTGTAATGACGTGTTTAATTGACAGTTCGCAGTGTGTGCGTGAGCAACACGATCGGGGGAATTCCTAAAACGCTGTTAGCAGTAAACCAGGTTCTTACTGTTTAACACAAAATGGAAAAAAATAGCGAGACAAAAAGACAAACGCTGACTGATGCAGCATTATCTCATGCATATTCTTGTTTTTCAGACTGCAACTATTGCACATCTCCCCACTCATATTGTACATATTTGTATTATATAATATTTTCCCCCAAAATTTTTACTGTAAATATTTTGTTGAAAAAAGTTTCTAAACTACTTGCAGAACTTGCTTTTGCTTTATCTTTCTTAACACTTTTACTGTTAAGCACCAAAACACCAAAGCAAACTTCTTTACTGTTGAGATATTGCTGTGATGTTTTACGTGTCTATGACCACAGGTTAAGTCACATGGATATTAATGATGATGTCAAGGCCTGTAGCTATGAAAAGTGGTGGTTTGAGATGTACAAGGGCCGGTGCAGCATTCCTGAGAGTGACATAATTCAGACCGTGTACCTCACTGTACCCAGTGAAGTGTACGTGTTGTGTGTGTTTTAATGTCCACCAACCTGCCTGTTCTTCTTCTCTGCCTGAGCCACAGCAGAAGGGCTGGACAACTGATCCTTCAACTCCTGCGTGCACACACACACACACACACACACAAAAATGATTTACACCTCTTGCTCCCCAATGTGTCACAATCATTGCAAAAACCTCTTTAAAAGCCAAGCTCAACGCAGACAGCTTCATTAATCAGAGCTGCTGGCCAGCGAATCAAAGTGTCACAAAGTCTTTTGTTCCCTCTCAGCGAAGCCGTTTGGCTCAGATGACTCGATTCTTTTCAGGTCTATTTTCAGGACGGTACCTTTGCCTGCGAGACAAGTGTTAGAAACTGACTCATATTTTCCACCGTGCCTGCAGCCTGGACAGTGATTCAGCTTAGCTGAGTCGGGAGCAAAGTAAACACGCCAACAGGTGTAGATAGATAATCGATTCCACGTCTCCTCACGACAAAAAGTAAAAAAAAAAAAACACATTCACAATTACTGTGTGCTGCAAGTGTTGGGAGCTGATGTTTGACTTTGCCTGAACAATCTGTGCTGTTTAGTTTTCAAACTACAACAGAGTCTTTCCAGGCAGTGTTTGTGTAGTTGACTCTTTCTGTGTAACCACTGGTGACACCTTTCACAGGAAAACACGCACGTTCTGTGCAGAGCTGACGCTCGTATAAGCACCAAACAATTAGACACAGCTGATTTTTTTTAAATCTATTTGAGTTTTAAAACTCAACAAAAAACCAACAAGGGAGAAAAACATTAATAAATAAAGTTAAATTTACCTGGACAGATTTCCTGGTTCGCTCCACAAAGTCTCTCCTCTCTTGAAGTTCATTGTCTCCCAGTCTGAACTTCCCCGGGTTCGACTCCACAATACCTGAATCAGTCAAGGACCCAACAGACCAAACAACATGTCTTCTTATTTAACAGGAAACTAAATACCTATGTTTTTAAACTGGCTTTTAATTTGGAGTAACATTACAGACTTAGTGTTTGAGTTTTAACCATTGGTTTTCATATTTATTCTTATCCTTTGTGTTTATTTTCTCTTATTGTATTTTAATGACTTTTTCTATTTATTAACTTTTTATTCTTTGTCTTGCTATGTGAAGCACCTTGGGCTGCGTGTTTATATGCATTTATTAACAACAGCCAATTAGATTTAAGAAGATAAAAGGTTTTAAAAAGAAAAAAGAGAAAGAAATTTGAAGTACAGAAAGTTTAAATTGTGTTGACTGTGAGAGTCTCTATGAATATCCCTGTAATGTAATATGACTACCTCTCTTCAGCTAGCATTTAAAGTCACAAGGAAACAGCAAATTTAATGTAGTCTTCCTTCCATAACTTAACACACATCCACTTCAACAAGGTGTCACAAAGCAATACAAGACCCACAGTGAATGGTAAAGTGTTATAACTTCATTTGTTAGTGGCTCTGCTGTCACACTTATCTTGCAATCTCGACTGTCAGAGCTGTGACTCATGACTGTTGTCGTGAGTCACGGCCCAATGAGAAGTTGGTCTATTAAATAGAAGCAGGTTGTGTTCCCTCCTCTGCCGCAAGATTTTTGATCTATTTTTGTGACATTTTCCAAACTACTGAAAGAGTCTTTTTATATTTCTGATCTCTGCTTAATTATCACGGCAGTAAAATGGTTCTGGTTTTTCATGAGATTATCCTCTGAACGAGTCGGAGGAATAAGGGGAGGAAGTGAGAGAGTGACACAAAGCGTCTGTTTGTTTTAAAAATACCGGCGGTCATGTGAAGAGACGGGTTGTAGGGATGAGGGAAAGACTTTTTTTTTTTTTTTTTTCCTGTTTAAAAGGATACTGATGGTTTCACTGAGGTCCTCCAGGTCCCAGTCTATGGCCCTTAGACAGTTCCTCAGCTCATTGGCACTCCAGTCCAGCTCGTCCCGACTGACCTACGATGGCAGAAACCAACCAAAGTCACTTACAGTTTCTCCCAGAACCCTTTGTGGTGTTGTGTACAATTTTCCTTCATGTGTGCAGCATGTTTATTTAAATGCATTTGCTTCTTTGCTTGTGTTTCTTTCATTTGCAGACATTTTCTTGTTTTGTTATCAAAATTTAAGATACAGTGCAAAAGTTTAAGGCACTTTAGATATTTACAGTCTTGTCCATCATGAAATACGATCAGGGAGGCGTCCGATTGGTCCCAAATTCATTCTACAGCAGGACAACGACACCAAACATACACCCAGAGTCATAAATCATTCTCTTCAGCGTCAAGAAGAACAACAGATGGTCTGGTCTGGTCTGGTCCCCCCCCCCCCACAGAGCCCTGATCTCATCCTCATGGAGTCAGTCTGGGATTATATGAGGAGTTAGAAGACACTGAGACAACCCTTCCGAGTACCCCCAAGCAGGTAAACCCCAACTTCTCTGTTTTTTGTTTTAGTAATTTGGATCGGTTATGTTTCTCTGTTCGATATTTTATGTATTTTCTATTGTAAATTGTTTCCGTATTATCTATTTCGCCCTATCAGATTTATTATTTCTGTTCACAGCTGAGTCTCATAGAAGGCTTTAAATGGATCATGAAGTAAAACAATAAAAAAAAAAAAAGAATTTAAAAAACAAACCTACCTGGCAAATACCCTGAAAATCTGTGAGGAAGTGTATCGAGGAGAAGTGGTGCTGTTTTAACGTCAATGAGTGGTTACAGCAAATGTTGATTTGATGAGGTTTTTTCTGTTTCAGCAATTTGTCTTAAGTTAATAGATAAATAAAAATATCCATGGAATTATTTTAGTTTTAGAGCCTAAAACCTTTGCAAAGTGCTGCGTGTGTCAGTCAGTCACAATATCCACCTACATATGACCCTCAGAGGCTCGTGGCTTCAGGACAGTGATTTCTGCAGTGATATGTTTGAAGTGTCTGCTCACCTGTGTCCCATCCTGCAGCAGTTCCTCCCACCTATCAAACAGGCCCCGAGCACGAGAGAGGGCCTTCTGCACCTCCCTGGAGGTACACACACACACACACACACACGCAGGCAACAGACACACATACACACGTGAAAAACATTAACAGCACTGTAACTGTTTGACTACTTGACTTCACCCTTCAGACACCTGGCCGCTGTTTTTCAGGCTGGACTCTGCAGCTACGCCCCTCGCTTCACCAAAACAAACACCAGGAGCTGCGTCTCGCATCCTCCCCTGACTTCGCAGCGTCCTGCCAACTGCCAAACAGCAGAGCCCCACATCTGCCCAGGTGTTTTCACCGACAGCCACATCACACAAAAGCAAATCTCAGACATCACTCAGACTCTCGTCAGTTTTGGGCAGACATCAACACACTGACTACCTATGCGCAGCTGGTGTTAGCATTAACGATAGTTAGCTACAGCTAGCCGTTGAGCTAACTTCACTAGTGTAACTTTGTCTTTACGGGAAACACGAACTCGCTAACAAGTTGAGCTTTGAACGTGTAACTGTTTGAATTAGCTTGAGGTAACACTGAGTTTTAGTTCTTAATTTGTTCATTTCTCACCCCTTCACAACGAAAAACGGGTCTTCTATCGACATGATGCGTCCTTCCGCTTCGCTCCCAGCGCATGCGCACTTCTCGAACGGTCCTCTGACGCGTTGCAGTCGGCTGGTGGAGAGTGACTGAGTACTGTACTGTACTGTGCTTGAGAGCAATTTGAGGTACTTATACTTGATTTGAGTACTTACATTTTATGCTACTTCATACTTTTCACTCCACATTTCAGAGGAAAAAATTAGCCTTTACTTATTTTTCAAATTCATTGTATTGGTATGTCATCAGTGATTTGACTGTATGAACAATGATTACTCTGAATGTTAATGATTTAATAGGTTGTTGTCATGAATTCTAGCCTATGATCCAATGCTGATGGAAATGGCCTTAAATTAAAGCTAAGCATACTGTCAAAAATAAGTTACTATAGTAGTAAGGTCAGTAGTCTACAAGTACTATTTCAAAGTAAAATATTGCATTATGTTATTGGATTATTGTTGTTATTGTTTATTTGTTGATTATATTTTGTATTATTAATCAGAATCTGCAAAGTAACTAGTAACTGTAGTGATCAAATAAATGTAGGAGTAAAAAGTACTAGATTTGTCCCTGAACTGAGCAACAGAAATAAATAACACCATCCACTGACCTATATTTCAACTTCAGATTCATTATTCAACATAACAGCATATCATTTCTCTCCTATTTCAGCTTGTTAAAGTTGGTCTATGCACCACCTCCATCTATCAAAACCACTACAATAGTTGTGTTTTGTTACAGAGAAGAAGATGGAGGTTTTAATCTACTGAAAAAAAAGAAAAAGAAGTTGGGTAGAAGTCTGGAGAAATGCTGTGTTGGAACAGAAGAGGAGTCACTGGTACACATCTGTATAAGATTAGTTTCCATGGTAACATCTATGCAATCACTGCCTGAGTTTGCAGTAACTTGCAGTAGTAGAGTTTATACAGACAGAACCACCATCTGCATTTAACTCTCTATTTACATTTAACTCTCTATTTACATTTAACTCTCTATTTACTTTGCAAATATTCACAAATAAGAAATACAGGTCATTTTCTTCACAAGATAATGTGATATGATTGAAAGCACCAGAACAGCTGATAAACTAAGCAGCTCAACAGCTGTTTCCATGGTCTAAAATAATCTTCTGTTCTCAAAAACACACATTCTTTGTGAAAACACCTGTGTGGATCGATCATGGCTGCGTCCGGGCCATAAATGACAAAGGTTTTGAATGTAAAACTTTATTACTGACAATCCAAACAGCATTTTGCCCATAAGCAAGAAACAGGACACACATATCTCTCTCTCTCTCTCTCTCTCTATATATATATATATATATATATATATATAACATACTGTATATACATGTATAAAACCAGATTTTATTCATTTATTTTAACTTTGATGGCCTTTTATACACATAAACACTTTATCTATTTCATTACACATCAAACCTCTGATCATAGATTTTATTTAATATTTAAAAAATTCATATTCTTTATGGCAGCATGAAATTTATTTTCTTTCTTTGCGTTTTGTTTAATTGTCATAAAGCTGTTGACATTTGTATATTGAAGAGGATAGATAGGATAGTATAGGACAGGATAGTAAAGGATAGTCTATATATATATATATAGGAAAGGATAGGATATAGGAAAGGATAGGATAGGATAGGATATAGGAAAGGAAAGGATAGGATATAGGAAAGGAAAGGATAGGATAGGAAAGGAAAGGAAATGATAGGATTGGATAGGATAAAGGAAAGGATAGGATAGGAAAGGATAGGATATAGGAAAGGATGGGATATAGGAAAGGATGGGATAGGATATAAGATATAGGAAAGTATAGGATAAGATAGGATATGATATAGGATATAGGATATAGGAAAGGAAAGGATAGGATAGGGTAGAGTAGGATAGGATGCATGAATTTCTCAACCTTCCACAAAACAAGCCTGGAATCTCCTCCACAGTTCTTTCACCTCTGTGTCCATCAAATGAAATGGAAATCTGAGGACAATGAATCCCACGGACTCATAAAAAATTAATTAGCAGAGGAACAGAGTGGATCGATTCTGGGTGTTGCTGGGAAAAAAACAAAACATGCATACTCAGCAGATCCCCCAGTAGCTGCTGCCTGCATGTTCTCTCTTTACATCTGTCCTTCCTGTTCCACCCATTTGTCGCTATTCCTGTGGGTTTTTCTTTCTCAATCCCACCCTGTCCTGTCTAGCTCCTTCCTTCCTGTCCTCATCCTGTTTCCTCCCCTCCATTCCTCCTTCACTCCACCTCCTCCCTCCCTCCTTTCCTGTGAAAATTCACAGTCACAGATACAAGTGACAGTTTTGACACATGCTCTGGAAGAGTCAGAGATTTTTCCTCTAGTCAGTAATATCCATTAGTTTGCTGCTTTCCTCTTTCCCATAAACTCTGTCACCTCTTCACATCAACTTCTGCTTGTGTCTTTGGTCTTTGGAGTGTGTTCTCTGTGTGTCAGCGGGTGTGTGGTTTTCTAAGGCAAGTGAAACTGCGTGGGAATATTATCCACTGAATTATAGTTCAATGACCTTTACTATTTCTGTGTGCTCATCCTAAATACAGTTTGTTGAATGAAATTACCTCGCACTAATTTGACAAGGAGCCAACCCAGAGGTTTTGCATTTCCTCTCTCAAAACATTTGTCTTTACTGAACAGTATGAACATGTTGGGAGAGATTCTTCTGCCTTTTACTGTCAACAGAAAGAATAAAAAACATGGGTCCACTTTATTCTGTTGGTCCACGACCTGTTAGCCAGAAATTATTTCTTTTACTTGTACATTGACGTTTCAGTTCTGAGTCTTATCGTGGTCTTGATCTTGTTCGGGATATGACGGAAACCTGGTTATTCATATCCTTGTAAACATGATCACAACAGGCGTTTTGATTGTCCGTGTCCAGCTGTGTCTGTAATTCCTTAACTCTGACTTTATCACAACAGCTTAATTTGATGCCACTTTCAGAGGAGGACAATAACGAAGTACGTTGACTTGAGCGCTGTAGTTAAACATATATATATATTTTTGGAAACTTTTACTTTTTAGACTTTTACTTGTTATTTTGAAGCAGAGCTTTTAGTCAGAGGATTGAACTTTCTTTTGTTTTGAAAATGTCATAGATCATACACTGTGTTCACAGCCAACTCCTACACTGTCAGTCATGTTGCTGATTTTTTGAACAGCTCAGTTTGAACTTGGCAGCGTCCTAACATTGGCTACGTTAAATAAAGATGAGGCAGAAGGTTCTGCACCAAGAGACCGTGGTGTGATCTGAAGTCCATGTTTAAAGTTTTAGAAATACAGAGAGATTCCTTCCGTTTTTAAATGTTTGTTGTGTTTACCATGACTAAACTTCATCACTGCCCAGGAAAAAAAAAAGAAATTCAAACGACAGTGGCTCCTGTTGTTGATTCAACTGTGTTTTTATAGTCAGTTCTATAGTGTTTCTATCACGTTCTACACGTTTTTTATTCTACAGGCTCTACAGACAGTCAATCAGTCGGTCGGTCAGTCACTAGGTTGTTTCAGAGTCACTTGGTTCTGTAAATGTGGAACAATATAACAATGCACTGACTCAAAAAATGTACTTTTGAATACTTAAGTGCTTTTAAAAGCAAGTACTTGAGTACTTTAACTCAAGTAAAAAGCTTTGTCCACCTCTGGTTCCTTTTGCTTTGCATGTGAAAACCCTGTACAAACGTGTCAGGTCAGATGTGACCATCATCAGGTAGATAAACGACAAGTTAAACATTGAATTTAAGAGTCTGTGAAGGCAACACAAAACAAAAACATTGTGTGCATTAACCTTCACTAACAGATACTGTGACACAGGCGCTTGTTTGCAGCTCAGTATTGAAGATGAATTGTGCTAGCAAACCGGATGCTAACCATCCGATACACCTCGTTACGATGATGGAACATAGAGCATGTTGCGTATTACCTCTTACATGAGTTGTGAAAGCAGAGTTACATGATGTATAACAATCAGAAGGTCATCACACCTTCCGTTCAGATAGAAGAAAACAGATAGACACGTAGAGCGTTTTGGTGTTTTTTGTTTTTTGAAAACTCAAAAATAGTTTTGTCATTATTTTCCACTCTTTAATATCTCCCATCTATCTCTGCTGCTCATCTACTGTCCAGCTCAGCTGAATCTAGATCTACCACACTGGAAAGTTTGAGTCACTTTACAACACGCAGCTTGTTGCAGCAGAAGAAATCTTCAGAACAAAGTCTGATATGAACCGAGTCGCTCTGTGGCGCAACGAAAGAAACTGGCCCAGAGTCAACAAGCAGGAAACAGTCTAAACTGAGTCTAAAAATAGACCCTCTGACCCATTCCCTTATGGTGCCTTCAAGTGCTCCTTGTAAGGTTGACCTACTTTCATGTTTGGGAGTCATGATTGCAACTTGCCGCTGCTGCTTAAGTGCATTCAGTCGAGAATAATGAAAAGGTTTACTGAGCAGCTGCCACTCGGTTTGTTGCCGTTTTCCTTCAGAGCTCAACTTCCACCGGACTGCTGTAGGAGAAGGAAGGAAAATACACATGGTGACATTAACTGATAGCAAACGATGCCAGGATGCAACTGAGAACCACAACAAACATCAGGCTGTGCGTCATAAATCTGCAACAGGCCAAGCCACTTTAACCACCAGTCTACATTCAACCTGCTGTCTTCTAAAGCCTTTAAATACTATCCATGAAAAACCTGTTCAGCCGGACACATTTAAACTTTAGAGCTGCTGACAACAGTGGTCAGAGACTCTAGCATGTGTCAGCATATTTGCAAATTCACTTAGAAAACCTGTTAATTCACCAAAAATGGTCCACATCAGTTAGTTTGCAGGTTTCAGACCAGTTTGCTGATCGATTTCCAGAATATTGGAAGCATCTCAGTGCAACATCACCTCTGTGTTACAGTATAAGACACACAGACAGGTGACAAATTAAAGGGCGAGCCAGCAGAAAGTATCTTAGTAAGGTGTTAGGCTTCATGTCTCCTTGGCATTGA